TCCCCAGGCCTCAGCCCCCTACCCCCAAGCCCTCATTCAGTCGTAGATCTAGGGGCCTGTGAATCAATCTGTACTTCACACAAGCCCCCCTGGAGATTCTCATGCAGGTGGTTCTCGGGTGATGCTTTGAGAAACACCATGGTGCTCCTTTTGTGTCTTTATCTCCTGCCCACTTGGCTGGGCTGCTATGCAGAGAAGACGATGGGATGACGTGAAAGGCTTTGAAGATCGCTGCCAGGTGAAGACAGTGTCCTTGCACTGCTTCCTGGTCTCCTCTGAGCCCTCCTCACTCTCCCGCTCTGCCTTGGCTTCCAGATCTGGAGCCCTTTCTAATACTTAAAAAGAGATCAGCCGGGCATGGTGGCTCACGCCTGTAATCCCAGCACTTTGGGAGGCTGAGGCGCGATCACCTGAGGTCAGGAGCTCGAGACCAACCTGACCAACATGGTGAAACCCCGTCTCTACTAAAAATACAAAATTAGCCGGGTGTGGTGACGCATGCCTGTAATCCCAGCTACTCAGGAGGCTGAGGCAGGAGAATCGCTGGAACCTGGGAGGCGGAGGTTGCAGTGAGCCGAGATTATACCACTGCACTCCAGCCTGGGCAACAACAGTAAAACTCTATCTCAAAAAAAAAAACAAAAGGAGATCATCACTGTCCTTTTGGCGATACACTGTCCTAAACTGCCTGGAACCCACCCCACTGTCTCACAGGAGAACCACCAGACTAGGCCACTGTCACCCAAACGGATCAGTGATGTTGGGGGCGGGGCGTGCTGGGGATACTCTCATTTTCCTTCTTTTTTTTTTTTTTTTTTTTTTGAGACAGAGTCTCACTCTGCCACCCAGGCTGGAGTGCAGTGGCACAATCTTGGCTCACTCACTGCAACCTCCACCTCCCAGGTTCAAGCAATTCTCCTGCCTCAGCCTCCCGAGTAGCTGGGATTATACGTGCCCACCACCATTCCCAGCTAACTTTTTTTGTATTTTTTTAGTAGAGACGGGGGCCTCATCATGTAGACCAGGCTGGTTTCGAACTCCTGACCTCAAGTGGTCTGCCCGCCTAGGCCTCCCAAAGTGTTGGGATTACAGGCATGAGCCACTGCGCCTGGCCTCATTCTCGTTTTCTATGCGTATCAGAAAGAACTGGGTGTGGGTTCAATACTCCTGAATTCAAGCTCACCTCAGCCACTATGTAACCTGTGCAAACCTCTTCACTTCTTTGTACCTCTTTTGGTTTCCTGTTGGGTGAGCCGTAGGTAAAGGTACCTGCTAGGCACTGCTGTTGTATTAAAAGAGACAGCACTTGTAAACTACAAGGCGGCTTGTACCCATAAGATAGGGTGGTAGGGTTGCCAGATAAAATGCAGGATCCCCAGTTCATGTTAAATTTCAGAAAAACAATAAATAACGTTTTGGATACGTCCCAAATATTACATGGGACCTACTTATACTAAAATATTATTTGTGATTTATCTGAAATTCACTATTAATTGGGCATCTTGGGTGTTTTGGTTTGTTGCATTGTTGTGTTTTGGTTTTTGCTGATTGGCTGCTGGGTATTCTGGCATCCGTTGGCCCTCCTCCCACCAGCAAGGCAGTTCCTCCTCAGTCCTCAGACTCAGATTCCCCCAGCTCCTGGACCATGGAAGGGCCTGGACGGAGGGTACCACTGGGCCTTGACAGCCTTTTCTTCTTCCCCTCTGCTGCATGCTCTGGGGCTGAGTGCTCCCCGTCAGCCCTGTGGCCACAGGGGGAGGCTCACCTGGCAGACAGCACAATGTCTGCATCTGTCACAGCTAGACAAGGTCACAGGGAGAATGCTCTGGGCTCTGTCTTGTTTATCTGGGGGACAAGGGGGCAGGGAGGCAAGGGAAAGCAAGGGCAGGCTCCTCTTTGCTCCTTCCTTCAATTTCCTCCCCTGGAAGAGGCAAAAGGCCTGCCTAGAAAGCCCTGGAACTTGTACCCTAATGGAGCCTGGTTTTCTCTGGCAGGAAGTGGGTGGTCCTCAGGGAGGAGGTGCTTTGAGCCAGGAGATCCTGGTGTACCCCCAGCTCCGGGTTTAACTCTCTGTGTGATCTAAGGCAAACTACATCACTTCTTTAGTCAAAACAGGATAATAACAACAGCGCCAATTAAAACACTGATATAGTACACACTGTAAGCCAAGCACTGTTCTCGGTCCTTTATAAATAATGCCCTTTTAACCCTCCTAACAAGCCTAGAAGGTGGGTACTGTATCAGCCCCATTTTACAGATGAGGAAACGGGTACAAAAAGATCACACAATCAGTAAGAAGTAGAGGCAGGATTTGAAGGCAAGCAGCTTGGCGCCGGTCTGGGCTCTGAGCTGTCTCTGTGAAAAGTAGAAAAAGCACAAATGCAGGAGGAGGTGGGAGGGGGCGATGAACACCTATTGAGCACCTACAGCATGCTAAGCAAGACAGTGTCCTTTACAGAGATGATCTCATTTAAATCTCACAGCAAGCATGGCAGAGGACACCGTTACCACATTCTGAATCCAGATGCAGAGAAACTGAGGCTTGGAGAGGTCAGGGACTTGCCTAGGATTATAAACCTGAGTCCAAACCTGAATGTGGGTCTCACTTCAAGGTATGTGCTGGGACCTCCACCACCCACCCTGCATCTGGCTCACAGTTTAGGAGACACTCTCGGGCCACACAGCATGGACAGTGGCAGTGAGACCAGAGCTGCTCGTGACACTGCACCCTGCGAGGTGCTCTGGAGCTGCGTCCATCCTCTCCCTACTGGCTGAGACAAAGCCACACCCCCAACCCCTGTTCCCAGGGCCCTGGACACAGCTCCTTGCTCTGAACCTGTCCATCCTTCCTCCAGTCTTTCCCATCTTAGTCCAGTTTCTTCCCCACATCACAGAGAGCAGGAGGAGGAACATTTTGCTTCGATTGCTCTTGTTACTCTCACCCACATCACCTTGTTTGGATCCCGACAACCACTGGGTTGGATGGACTACACAGCATTACCCATATCCTGATTTCACTCAAAGGGAAGGTGAAGCTTAAAAAAGTGGAGTGACCTGGCCGGGCACGGTGGCTCACGCCCGTAATCCCAGCACTTTGGGAGGCCGAGGTGGGTGGATCACAAGGTCAGGAGATCGAGACCATCTGGCTAACATAGTGAAACCCTGTCTCTACTGAAAATACAAAAAATTAGCTGGGCATTGTGGCAGACGCCTGTAGTCCCAGCTACTCAGGAGGCTGAGGCAGGAGAATGGCTCGAACCCAGGAGGCAGAGCTTGCAGTGAGCCGAGATCGTGCCACTGCACTCTAACCTGAGTGACAGACCGAGACTCTGTCTAAAAAAAAAAAAAAAAAAAAACTGGAGTGACCCACCCAGAGTCCCCCAGATTTTAGGCCAGGACTTAAACCCATGTCTTCAGACTCCAAATCCAGGGCTCTTTGGAGATCTTAGAGGTCAACTCAAGTATTCTAGAGATGAGGAAACTGAGGCCCAGATGGGACAAGTGGCCCGTTCAAGGTCACAGCCACCACAGCAGAACTGAGACAAACCCACAGCTCCCGACTTCATAACACCTTGCCTTCACTTGGAAGACAACTGGAGCCAATAAACCAACCCAACCAACAACAGGGGTGAATGGTGCCAACCCCACTGAAAACGAAAGGCGGGAGCAAGCCGAAGGGAGGTGCACCCCGTCCCACCGTGAGCTCTTCATCCGGTCACTCCTGTCTCCAGGACCGAGTCTACTGGTGGGGAGGGTCTGGGGAGCCAGACAAGTGGGTGAGGACACAGTTTAAAGGTGGGGACTCTGCACCCTGCAGGCCAGATCGTTTTCGGAATTTCAGCCAGCCTGGGCTGAAAGTGCTGGCTCAGGGGCCTGCCTTTGCTGGCTGAGGAGTGAGCGCCCCGAAGCGTGGGGTATGTTTGATGACAGTTGGCAATGAAGATATGAATGCAGGCGTTCAGAGAGAGAGACAGCATCCTCGATTTCTCCATAAATGGAGGAAAAAAAGATATTCTGAAGCTAAATCTGCATGTATGTCACCTTTGATGATGTGTGCCTTGCAGCTGCGGTTCCAATTCTGCTGAAATCTTGGGAGCAAGATGGGAGACAGAGTTCAGCTCTGAGAGGTCACTGCGGGCACTGGTGCTCACCGGGTCACAAGTGGAAGGCTGGAATCCACTTGGGGGAAGGACACCCACCTGCCACCTCACTCTGGGTACTCATCCCTGTGGATGCTGGGGTCCCCTCCTTCTCAGCTCCACCCCTGCTCCCTTCCTGTGGGCCTTAATGGAGCCCCTTAACTCCCTCTGCCCTGGTGTTCCCGTCTGCCAAGCGGGTATGTATGCCCATGCTGCCATTGGAAGGGTGCACCAGGAAAGCAAAGGGGGCACCAGCCCACTCCATTTTGGTTCAGTTTTTTCACATCTGGCTGAAAAGCCACAGAGAACTACAAATCATTACTGCATCATTGGCTCTTAATGGGCTGCCATTATTCCTCATCAGAAATCTTCCTCACCCATATTAGACAGAAGAGCAAACTGGAGCTGAGAAGCTGAGAGGCCAGGTTAGGCTCGGGAGGCTGCTGCAAAGCCCGTGGAACTGGCTGACTCCCCATGCACGGTACTGAGAATAGGGCCTTTTCCCATACAGTAGGCTGCGTTCTGCTTACCAGAGACCTACAAGTAATCCACACCCGCCAGTCCTAGGACCCAAAGCCCAGGGAGATGATCCGGGGCATCCCGAAACGGGAAGTTTCCTAACTTGGGAAAGTGAGTTACTGGAGAAACAGGAGAAGAAGTCCAGCCTCGGGGTTCAGAAACTCCAAAGAATTCCAGATGTGTCCCTCTCCACCCACTTCCTCAGCGGAGACCCAGGAAAAGTTCAGGATCCCCCAAGTCTCCTCTTCCAAACTCAACCTAAGGCTCCTCGCACCCAGACTGGGGTCTGGGGTGGCCTCTCCCTGGCCCCTTCCCTCCCCCAGCCCAGCCGGCCCGGCTCACCTTTGGGCAGTTTGGATGCGTTTTCCTGGATCCAGGAGAAGAGGTGGGCGAAGTCACAGTCGCAGAGCCAGGGGTTCCCGTCCAGACGCAGGGAGCGCAGCGCGGGCAGCGCGGCCAGGGCAGCCACGCTGAGGCTGCGCAGGTTGTTGTCGTTGAGCTCCAGCACCTGCAGCGACTCCAGGGTCTCGAAGGCGGCTTCGTGCACGCCCGCCAGGTTGTTGTTAGCCAGACTAAGCTTCACCAGCCTCCCGGCCGAGCGGAAGGCGCCGGCGCCCAGCTGGGTCAGGTTGTTGTAGCTGAGGTCGAGGAATACGAGCTTGGCCGAGCCGCTGAACGTGCCCTCCTCCAGCGAGCGCAGCGAGTTGTTCCTGAAGTCCAGGTAGACCAGGTCGCCGTAGAAGATGAAGAAGTCCTCGGGGATCTGCTGGATGCGGTTGCCGGCCACCAGCAGCTTGCGCACGTCCAGGGGGAAGGGGTCGGGCACGCTGGGCAGCCCGCGGTCGCTGCAGTCCACGGTG